TATAAAAATGTGTTGACCAAATGTCTCATATACTCCTCATTAACATAAAATACACTCAAAGTTAATACAAATATAAACTTTAAAACGAATTTAACACCGCCAAATTCCGTCTGGTTTACGGATAGACGACGCAGTACCTTTTCAATACTACACGGCGTTGCTCACACAAAAACAGTGATAAACACCTGGGATAGGGATAGTCATCGTTCGACGTAGCACATTTCTAGACAAGAGGTTAATGCGATTCTGAGCCAGTTTTCGCTTTGTCCAAATTGCAGTCAGTTCAGTGTCAAAGTCTATGGCGCGTCGTCTGATCACATAGCGCGCACTCACAGGGGGACAAGGATGACTGCACTGTTGAAACGGTCCGGCCTTTTCACGGTCCCACCATTTAGCTCTGTCTATTCTGAAGTTCGGTAAACTCTTTCTAGGACCACATCACCTCCCCCTGTTCCACATATGAGAAGATTGGATGCCTTTCGATGGGGTTACCTTCTCCCACCTTTTCCTTTTAAGCTCCCGATAACGGGACAGCTCCTCTTGGTCGATGAAGAGAAGCGTTATCCCCTTGATTTTCTGGCCGAGAGCTTCAACGAACGTACGCGCGTTAGTTATGGAGCTCAGCTCAGTTGTTTTCAAGTTATGCAGGGACGCATGATGCTTCAGCACACCACCCACTCCATCGCTTTTGCCGTGCCCTGACGCCGAGTAGATCCACCTGCTGACAACAAAGTTCTTCTGAAATTTGTGTAATTGGTGCCGATTTTTGAAATGGCTTGGAGCGCCGTCCGAAACATAGATTAGCTCCAAAAAAAACGGGCAAGAGTTCCTCGAGCCTGTCTTCAATCATTGTGAGCGCAAAGAGCGCGTGTGCAGAATCATGACAGGTATTGGGCAGGAGATCGAACTATAGGGGGCGCTCTGACCCGTTTGTTTTCCCCACGCTCGGTGTTTACTCAACACAAGGCCTGTACACATGCCAACAGGCCTTATGGGCATGGCCATGTCATCTTCTACAATAAAGCGCGGGGCACAGTTTAATGTAAAAAATACTAACAATCGACGAAACGACGTTAAGTGCCGGATCTATCTTCTGAGAATGCGAGCTTGACCCACTTCGGCTTTTGTGCTAAGCTGGGATCGTGCATGCTGCATTGTTCATGCAGGCCGTCGTGGAAACAAAAGAGCCCCTCCTCCCCCTCGCCGGAGAACACAAACTCTAGCCGAACGCTGACGCCGCGTTCGGTTATGTCGGCCGAGCGCTGCGTCATTGTATTTGTTGTCCCCATCCGTGTAGTTGATAAGTTAACCGCTTGGGGCGTAACGGTCTGTCCCCCTCCCCAATCGTCACTCACGACGCCGAAACTTAGTGTTCCCTTCGTGGTCGTCACAACGCAGGTGAAGATTGTCACCATCTTGGTTTTCCAGTGGTATCCCTGCACTGCACGCTGGAGCACAATACTCCAGTTTTCGGCGAAATCAAAGTGGAGGACTACGACACGTGGCTTCACATTTGCTTTTTCAAGCCATACTGCTCTCTGTTGTGCGCGCCGAATATAATAATGGGGTATGTATTTCTTCGTCCACTTGTTGAGTTCGTTAAGAAAAGCAGTGGCCTCCAAATGTTTTTTCACCAACTCGCCACCAGATTCCCACAGTGCCAACTCCAGTTCATCTTCAGCGCTCATCCCTAGCATCTCGAGGGATATGTCCTTCCGTTTCGAACAGGCTTCACACCTCAGCAAGAAGCAGTTTTAGGAAGGATTTTCACAAAAAAAAAAAAAAAAAAAATTCTGGACGTCTTCAAAGGTCATGGTCTTCCCGCCGCATTTGACAGAGATGTCAGACAGAGTATGAAGTTGGCGCAGCATGCACACACACACTGTTCATGTACAGGGTGTTTCCTAACCCACTTGGGCCGAAGAGAATAAAATTTTGTTAGGCCCATTTTTGACTCGGGATTGGCCGCCTTGAATTCTTTTTAGGTTTCCCTAATAGATCTCGTCATAAATTGCTTCGTGACGAAGACTTCCTGACCATCAATAAAAAGCCTTACGACATCCTTCTTGTTCGGGCTTTGTCTTGAGCAGTCTTTCGCATCTGATGTGTAGTAAGTCAACGCAAGAGCGACATCGTTTTCGTTGAGAGCATGTCCTTGGTATGGGTCAGGTGACGCCCAGACCCCCATTTTTTTTCAGCTTTCTTGATTAGTCCAAAGCATGCTTCGTCACTTCAGGAATTGCTTTCAGGATATCTTTCTTTTTGAGTTTAGATGGAAAGAGAGTTAAGAGGCGGTAGCGTTCTACCTGCGACGCGCTCTTGACGTAGGCTGCTCGTAAATTGCTGCCCCAGTCGGAGCACGAGGAGTATGGACCTTCTTTGTCTAAGCCCGTAGGTTCTCCGTACACGTCACTTAGTTTACGACCAATTATCTTTTTGAAGTCCGCGGTTATCTCAGATTTTTTTCGCTTAACATAGCCGGTACGACTTCGTGGGGTCACGCTAGAAGGGAGTTTAAGTGGTGTCACACTTACTTTGGCAGCATCAATTGCTTCAGACACTCCTTGGACCAGGGCTTCCTCGTCAACGAGTGATCTGTCCGCTGGTTTCAGGGATGATGACGATGAGCTTGATGACAACATTTCCTGTCCTTGCTTATGTTCTTCAATCTGACCCAAGAACATTGTGTAGCAGTTATTGCACAGAACATCTCCAGGGCTTACGCGCTGGGCGTCCTCAGCCGGTAGAACTTGCCTAAGAAAACTTAGGTTTAGCTCCGAGACTTGACGAAAATGGCGTCCGTAAAACACTATTCTCTTGTGTCTCCTTGAATAGTCGGCGCACACTTTCCGGTTTGAACTGAATAATGTATTAACCATGGCAGTAACGAACACTTCTGGCTTTCTGAAACCAGGAGCAGTTTTAAGTTCATCCAGCTCAGACAGCACAGAGGTAGAATGAGTACCAGCTTTCCGCCGTGGCTTAGGAATTCAAGTAAAAAGCCAGAAAGGGACCGAAAAGGCTATTATCAGTTAGAAGACGTGCGAAGATTCGGCTTCCTTTGGGTCCCCAATCTTCCCGTCGATCCATACTTAAACATTCGCTCTCCGCCTCGTGCGTAATCTGAGTGCCACGCAGCAGAGGCGTCTCTTTTAGTGCTCGCGCATTAGTGGCACGGTTGTGTTTGACTGGGGTGGCATCTGTAAAATTTCGGAGCCGAAAGCAAAAGGCCTCAGAGGACTTCTTTAACGATCTGCATTCCCCCGTATTGGGAGAAAAAGATACGCTCGCACTTGTGAATACGGACTTCTAAGTAACTCTTCTTTAACACTATTCAAATTTTTTTTTAATGTTTATGGTTGGATATTAGGTAACTGCTAGCGATAAATAGAAAACCTTATATAGGCCAAAATTCTGCTCAGTAGAGCGCCTGTGCGAGTCCCGTTCAAAACGCTCATAGCACGAGATTCGAGTCTTAATAGCGGCCATACAAACAATATATTACCATTTCTGTTGGTAGTTCCTGATAGACTACTATATTAACTAACTGTGAATAAAAAATGAAAAAAATAAAAAGTGGTTTTTTTTAGAAAATCGACTCCAAACTTGCTAGTTTTTCGAAATATTCGTTTTTCAGGCACATGTAGCGCATTATATACTTGTGGCAAAATATTGAAATTATACTCAAAAGAAAGAGCATAATTGGTGCTTTACGGTGATATAAAGATCATAAAAATATGTTGATTAGGTCACACAGCACAGCTTGCTGAACTTCGTCAAATACCGTCACAGAGAGGCGGTTTGACAAATAAAAAAAAATCATTAAGAATGTTATGACCTAGACGCTTAATTAGCATGAAAAAGCCTATGTCTAGAGTGTTCCCAAAAAGTTATATTGATGTAGCGTAAAAAGTAGGGAAAAGGGATGGAGTGAAATATGGCACCTCCGATAGGCTGGAAAAACATCAATTTCCCCCTTGACCGCTTCAACGGTCCATAACTTGAGAACAAAAAATCCGACGAAATAACCGTTTGCGTCTTCTTTTATTAAAGGAATTTCCCCAAAACATATATTTTTTTCGTCAAAATTAAAAATTCGACCCTAAATCCGTGCCTGAGTTGAGATGAAATCACCCATATATATATATATATATATATATATATATATATATATATACCGGGTGTTTTTGCGAAGACTTTCAAAGATCCTAAAAATTAGGGCGATTGAAAAAAGAAGAAACTCTCTTCGGGAACAAACTACCAGCCACGGCGGACGTCAGGAATTGCCAAAAACCTACTAATTAGCCAGATAATTAATTAAAACTTGTTAATTAACTTTTTAATTAGGGGAAATATAGACATATGGTTCCAATTAGAAAGTTGCTGAGCGTTATCAAAAACCACTAAATCAGTCATTTTCAGAAAGACTTTAAGCGCTTGAGAAGAGTAGTAGCGCACTAAAGTTACCACTCGTGGAGCAGGTACAAGGCTGGGGCTAGATAAGAGGCGGAAAAATCGCGCGGGCGCCTTACCGCAACCGCTAGCCTTGTACCTGCTCCACGAGTGGTAACTTTAGTGCGCTACTACTCGTATATATATATATATGTGTAAACTTAAACATATACTCCGTTCACCCTTAAACTGAGACTAGAAGCTCCGCCTTCAGCGCGAGCTTTCTGCCCTTGCTAACTCAAGTGTGAACGCGCAAGGCACGCCCAATCAAAGCACTGCGGAAACCAGCGAGCTCGCGCTGAAGCTTCTAGTCGCAGCTTAAGGCTAAACGAAGTATAGTAATTGAAGTCTCACAGTCATTTCCAGTGATGCAACGAGGCAGCTGAAACATGTCAATCTGCCAATTTTTCCTACCTGTGCCAAAGCCTGTGCCCCACCAAAAAAAAAAAAAAAGAAACGCATTTGAAATTGAACATATACGTGGCTAGAGGGCGCGAGACATCTTCCAAACTCTGGCTGAGAATGTTCGTGTTTATGTGTGCATATCCATGGAAACGCCTTCTCCGCTTCTTCTTTGGTTTCGGCGTTTCGGTTTTCGTCGTAGCGTTGGTAGCGTTTTAGCGGCGTCTTATCTTCCCACCCAGCAGCACAAATCACGGCCCTACAGCACTGTACTTTATGCAGCATTATCGTTCTACCACGCCCGGTTTGGTTTCCCCGAAGTCCGTGTATGTATCGCAATCGCTTTTCTGACGCGCTGCCAATCCGCCACACCTCCCCTCAGCCGGGCGAGGTTCGGTGATCGCGCTCGACGGGAGAACCTCTGATCGGCCACCCTTCAGAAGCCCCGAAGCATCAAGCCGCGCTTGCGACAAGATGACCTCGCTTGAGCTCCCACTGACACGAAAAGACCTGCTTCCCAAGGGTCGTCGCGATCGCACGCTGTTTATCGTGATGACGGTAATGACGCCCGCCATCACCCTGTTCGAGTTGCTGGTCGTGCTACCCCAGTACCACGACAGTATCGACGCGCTGGTGTGCCTGCACAGCGTGCTGGCCGTATTCATCGCAGTCAACATCCTGGGCAACATGTACCGGGTGATCCAGACCGGCACCGGCGTGCGCGACTCCGGCTGTCAGCTGCCGGCCGTGCTTCTGCCGGGCTGGCGCTACTGCCCCGTGTGCCAGGTGAACGCGCCGCCACGCTCGCACCACTGCAACGTGTGCGACCAGTGCATCCTGAAGCACGATCACCACTGCATGTTCGCGGGACGCTGCGTTGGCTTCTTCAACCAGCGTTACTTTGTCATGGGGCTCGTCTACATTTTCTTCGGTGAGCCTTCCCCTGCTGCCCGTTCAAAGAACCAACAAATTGCTTCTAAAAGCTGGGATGCAAAACACTCTAGCCATGATGTCTTTTGAGCCACCAAGCAAGTATTGGAATGTGATAAGTACAAATGGTGGCTGTCCAGCCTTGCACGAAGGTGAGCCAGTAGGCTCGTTCGAATTTCTTGCACCTCCTGCACCGGTGCAGAAAAGTGTACTTCCGGTATGTGTATCGAGATACGACCGGAAGTACACCGCCCTACACTTTTCTGCACTGATGCAGGAGGTACAAGTAAATCGAACAAGCCTTGTATAGGCCACGGTGGTATCGGCCAACGTGACTAGATTACCTCATTTGTGGAAGTGGAAGGGGGTACCCCCCTCACTCACTTCAGTCTGCCTCTCGTCGTTCGAAGCGCAATCTAGATTTTCATTCACGAACTGTGTGTTCCATTGAGTACAGTGGAATGCCATCGACGCTGTGCTTCAAAACATACTTATCTCTTAGAATACACTGCAGTTGCAAAGCAGCCGTCCAGAGCGTCGAACGACGGGAGGCAAGTCGTGGTGAGTGAGGGGGGGTACTGCTTGTGCATGCAGCGTCTATGAGCACTTTCCATAACTGAGCTAATCTAATAACATTGGTGTAGGCCTCTTGCACCTGACGTCACTTCCGGTTAGACTCGAAATCCAAACCAACAATGTCGTCTGCTATCAGTGCATCAGTGCCATGTTGGAGGCATTCGGCGTCTTTTTGCCGCAGCAGTAGTGCCGTAGAGTCATAGAGCCGTTCTTGTATAGCCACATTTCAGAAAATTTTCTTGTCCCAGTCAATCGCAAAGAGGTTTCTCACCTGAAACGAACTGCTTTCCACGAAGCTTTTTGTTGAGATCATAGAGGTCATATGATAATCTAGAGCAAAAGGTCTGATGCATTTGGCCGCTTCGGAACAGTGTGGCATAGAAGCGGGCATCGGTGCTCCCAGTTGCTGGTCCCGATGAGCCTATATCGCTGACGACGCCTTAGTATGCACAAAGCAGCAAAACATCATCTGTAAGGTCTGTACCTTGTTATTTGCTCTTTTACTTTGGAGAAAAACACCGGAATCGCACATATGACAAAATTAAAGTTGACAAGCGCTCAAGCAACTTCAACTTGTTGCGGTAAAATGAACACGCCTAATCCTTTGTTTGCTTTCTCTGCTCTATTGTCGCTTTCTTTCTAGTTCTTTCTCTAGGTACTAGAGATGTTAGTGCCCAGGATGTGCCGCGTTATGCTCCCGTCTTGACCCGCCTGGTCGAGGTTGTGCCAACGTAGCCGTCAGAGCCAGCTGGCTAACCGATTGGCCTCTTCGGGGCTTGCACAGAGCCGCTAGAAATAAATCAAAGCATGTTTGTTTTCACACGGAGCTTGAGCTTGTTCAGCAAGTGCTTGAACCGAATGACACGGATCCTCATCACGTAGAACTGGCATCTAAGGTCCTAGCTCATGCACCAAAAGCTTCATAATAGACTCTGCCACCTTGAGCTGCTTGGAAATGGCCCTCATTGACTTGGTGGGGGCCGCCTATCACAATGTCCTGCACCAGCTGGACTAACTCGGGCATCCTGGCGACGTCTGACCACTGGGGATGTTTTCTTTGCTTGGCCACAGATGCAAAGTCCCCATCAGAATCTGAAAGCTGTATTCTGAACCTGAAAATGAAAGACCTCGACACTTTCAAGGAGGTGGCCATATCCCAATCGCTGTGGTTGGCAGCCAAGGCAACCAGGACAGCATGCCTTTTCGTTTCTTGTGTCTGACCAGAATCTGCCATTTCGGAATTGATACACTAGATAGATGACATAGATGCAGTAGAAGGAAAAGTCAGGTGTCAAGACAGATTTAGTAAGAGTATTAGAAGTTATGCACCCTGAAGTTGTGTTCTCAAATACTTTGTGCACCCTGTACTTCATGCTCTCCAAAATACACAAAGTCCTTGGGAGTCCAAATTGGTGGGCTCTTTTTTCTCCATGACAGATGGATAGCCACGGGAAAGCACGTCATGAGATACCAGATTTGGACTTCTACATAAGTATAGGCAAAAAAAAGTTTTTTGTCTTTAGCATTGCCTTGGGAGATCTGGAAACAAACACCACTCAACTTTGCCCTCATGCCCACATCTGCAGGCACGCTGTACAGTCTAATCTACCAGCTGGACTACTGCGTGGCGTCCATGGGAGGCATGCGGCTGTTCTTCCTGCTCGGCCAGCTGGCACCCCACTTCGGCTGGCTGCTGGGGGTCTTCGGCTGGCGAGGATTCTTCTGCTCTACCCTCAACCTCTTCCAAATGCTGACGGTGGCCCTGTCCGGCTACATGCTGGTGGTGCAGGCACAGGGCATCTGGACCAACCAGACGACATATGAGCGCCGCCATGGCATCGTGCGCTACCATGCTGGCCTGCGCCGCAATCTCAGAGAAGCCCTGGGTACTTCGTGGTATCTTGTCTGGCTGGGGCCCTGGGTCCGCTCCCCCGCCCTGGGCGACGGATTGCGTTTTGACAATGGCATCGAGGCGCTTGTGGAAGGGAAGCGGCTTTGAAATGACGCAATGTGTGCACTCTTCACAACACTGATTACTCCTCAGAGTTAGCAGGATGATCTTGGTCAATTGGAACCATTACCGGAGTAGGTTGTGGTGGACCTTTATGGGAGTGAACTTTTCTCAGAGACCCTTCATCGGAGTGAACTTTTCTGAGTGTGAACCTTTATTGGAACAAAACACTGCCGCGCGCACTTGCCTCAGTGAGAGCTGCTTGTCAGAGTACACACTCATTAGTGGTGCCCCGTCAGAGTGAAGTCTCATCAGAGTGATCCACCATTGAAACAAGGCCTCATCAGAGTGAAAACTCATCAGATGGGTCTGTTGTTAAAGTGAATGCTTGTCAGTGTGAACATTCTAAACTCGTGTCACGGTAACTGCTTGTCAATATGAACACTTGACACGGTGGTCATTTGTCAGTGTGGACACTTACCATGTTAAACTCTTGTCGGAGTGAACGCTCATCAGTGTGAATGCTCAACGAGAGCTTGTCATAACAAGTGCTTGTCAGTTGAAACACTCCTTGGAGTCAACAGTTGTCAAAGTGAACATTCACTAGAATAGGCTGTCAACGGAGTGCATTCTTGTTTAGCTGAAAGCCCCCAGCTAACATGACTCAAAAATTGCAGCGCTGCAAGGGTCGATAGCAGTAACAATGCTGTCCTCCTGGAATAGTGGCAGCCTACCTGCTGGAGAGTATTATGGTGTTAGAATTTATGGCATTTAACATTCATCTGGTTATTTCAACATTTACTTTGGTTTATGTGATTTATTTGGGACAGTATTGCCACATACCCAGCCCGGTAAATCAACACTAGGTAGAGTTAGGTGTTAAAAAAGGTGTCAAGTAATGGCCAAGGTATGAAACCTTTATGCCAAAGTGAGACTGATTAAGTTAATTTTGGAACATGCCCACTCTTAGAAGAAGCATTCTTGGAGTGGCAGGTCGCAACCAGGATTTTCTTTTTTTTAGTAGGTATTGATAAACGCCGAAAAGTGACCCCCGGCTGTTTTTTTAACAAAATTAGGAATAAGGCCAAGAAACCCAGGATGGGAGGTGTCCTTGAATAAGGAAAAGCCAAGTGTCACAGGAAAAAAAATCTTCATCTACAGCTCTATTTTGTTGGCCCAAAAACACAGCCTGCACTGGACTGTCTGCAAGGCTGCTGCTCTTTTCATTCTCTGATTGGTACAGACATTTCCCAAGTATTTGGGTTGTGCGTGCGTTCCCAGGGGTCAGGGGAATTCCACATCCGTGACCTGTTCTTTTTATCATAAGCCTCCGTAAATGCCGACTTTTTGCCCGACACTGAAAATTGGCACCAAAAAATAGGGAGAATAAAGATAGTGGAGAGTTTGTCAAAAAAATGCAGAAACCGTGGAGAAAAATTAACTGAAACGCCCTTCAATTCGAAGGAAAGTTAACACCCAAAACACGGAACCCTAGTCATAACCATGCCATTCTCTAACGGCCCTCTTAAGTGTGGCATGGTAGCAAACCCTAGTCAAGGGAAAGTGGTTATACTGTCGTGCCTCACTAATACAGACCTTGTTAACACAAATACCCCGCTATGGGAACAAAATTTTCAGAGACGAGCTTGGCAACTACATGCATTTCTGTTTCGTTATTGTGGATGACTCGCATTATGGACGACTTTTTGGAAGAATGGAGGTGCCCGTGTTAACGAGACGCAACTGTATGGACAGCACTGCCAAGTGTGGACATGCACTGCCTTGGGAGAGTTTTTTTTTTTTTTTTTTTCCCCTTATGGGAGTTAGTCAAGGTGGCTTACACAGAAGCATTCTCGCTGAGTGAATGCGAGTCCCAGCCAAGCGCTGTCCCAGCCCTCATGTCCGGTTTGTGCCCCACGCTTACCTCTTGTGGCTGTTGTGGTACATTCAGCACTACGGCGTTGCTATCTAGGTGGTGTCTAGTCCCCACAGAAAGAAAAGGTTTCCTTCTCTCCAATTGTACATCGGTCTTCAAGCTGCTTTGCAATAGCAAAGAACATTAGGTTTGTGCAAGTGTTACTTCTTTATAATGCTTTTTAACCCTGAGACCGGTCCTTGCTTGAGCAGTAACTAGGTGCAGCAGTATAACATTTTTAGTTGCATTCTTTTTTTTTTTTTATAAAGAGAAAGGTGTGGTGCTACATGAAGAAAAATACCAGATTTCCTGGGCTTAGTTGCATGCTCTGGGAACAGCAGTTCTGAAGGTAATGCCCCAGTTGCTAGATGCACTTCATAAAGCTCACGAGGGTTTGTGCAAATATACATAAAATTCAACTGTTGCATTCGATTTGCGTTAATCTGTGGAAGTTAATAACTTCACGCTTAGTGAAACTGGTTGTAGACATGCTAGCTTGACACAGCAATGTGCTCGTCAGGTTTGGCTTTCGTGCAATATGTGTGTTGACCATGAACGTTAACAATTTAGTTTTTATTGCCCAAAATGGTGGGTGGCAATTAAACCTGACAAATGTGTGTGTGAATATCACTGTTGCTTTGAGCGTACTTGCTTTACTGAGGGTGCACTTTTACTGATTTGATGCACTCTAGAGAGCAGCCAATAGTGAAAAATACTGAAAAACCGTAACCTCGACATTTTTACAGTGTAAACGTTTAAGAGCTGACAAGCTCAGTTGACAGCTTTGATGAAAGATTGCCAGTTGTGTTGTATGTTTAGACACTGTGAAATTGGTTAGCCCCAATGGGTGTTTCGTGCCTCTGCCGTAGATCAGAAACTTATGCAGTACAACTGTTAGCTCGAGGTGCATCAAACAGTAGTGACACGCAAGATGCAACACTACACTTACTCATAAAAAGAGGAATTGTTTGGATCGGTTTAGTCTAAACATTCACTTTGTGGATGAGTAACCAAATCATGCTTATATGTACAATCAAAAGTAATGTCAGATTGGTCATGCGCAGATGTTTAGTTAAAGAGAAATTACACTGCCATACAATGTGAAAGAAAAACCCGTTTTTGCTGTATAGAGGAGCAATTTGGGACCAGTGTGGTGCTTCTGCAGACGATAAGCAGTTTGCATTCAGGCATGCACTCGACGCACCATTCTGGATGAAATATACTGCATTCTTGGGTGTTTTTACGTATTATCTAAGCCCTGAGATTTGCCAGCCTCACAATGCAATACTGCGTCAGTAATTCTGAACAGTAGCTAAAACTGGCCTTGACTGAACAGTACATTGTACAAAAACAATGCAATCACCGAAACACACGATCAGCTGATGAGGCTGTACTGGCCCCCACGGCACAGCAAACAGCTAAAAAAACACATGCAAGAATGCAACATTTTATCCTGAAACGACGAACGGCATGAGGAACGCACACCAGAATGCAAGACACCGCCTGTGAAAGCAGCCCCATATTCTGCCCCAAACAGGACACAGCAAATGTTGTGCGCAACAATAAAAAAGCAAGCACGCTTCTCAAGATTCTCAATGGTGTGCACATGTTTAGTGAGGACATCAACCATGCAAACAGCACGTCTTGCCTTCTCTCTTTGTTCTCGAGAGGTCGGGCACTGACAACAGTGGAGGCCTTGACCATAGCTGCCAACAGAGCGTGTGAGGGGTTGTCCAGACCCACGCAATGAGCATGCCTAAGCTTCCGCCCAAGGACAGAAGCAAAAGGCAGCTTCTGTCCTTGGGCGGAAGCTTAGGCATTTCCCCTCCGGCAAATGTAACGTCTCAAAGTGGACCAGAACCGGAGAAAAAACTGCTTGCCAGTACAGCAAATGCTGTGAACTACAGAAAAGGTGTCCTAGCTGTCTGGACAGCTGGAGAAGCACTGCGCTTTGAGGCAGAAAGGTAGAGGGAAGTTGGCCGAATTTCCGAAGACGCCCTGGAACACGCCCAGCCCGCTTCGGTGTGGGCCAAACTCTCTGCATATACGGCTCTGTCGGCTTGGTCGCTGCAGCGCGAGTGCGGCCACCAAACGTCCATCTTGCATGCAGCGAAATTGTGATTTTGCTAGCGTTGCAAAGGTTGGCGGCATGTGCTGAAGGCATGTTTTCTGCTTGTTTGTCGTCATTCGCCGAAGTTCTTTAAAACTGTGTAAGCCATGAGACGCCGTTGAGTATATATAAAAATTTTTAAGGAAACGCACTGCCGCAGGAAAAAGGTATAACTCGTCGAAAGCAAGTTTTGCCGGTCTTGCAGCGTGATCAAATTAAGCTTCTTTGGCACGCCGAAATACTGCTTCTCTGTGCCTTCACACGCTTGGATACCGATCAAGAATCGACACCAGGGCCGTACCCAGAAAAAAATTTTGGGGGGGGGGGGGGGGGGGGGGGGTTTCGGGGACAACGGCGGCCATTTTGAAAGTGTCTATTGTCTTATTTTCGCCTATGAATCATGTGCATCGGTGGCGTATAATGGAGAGTTACAGCCAACCGGAGAACCGGTCCCGGTTTGGTACCCGGTAGCCGACCGGTGCCACTGCGCGTGCGCAGAGGTGGAGATTAAAATCGGCTGGCTGCAAGTGCACCGACCAGGGCCGTACCCAGAAAAAAATTTCGGGGGGGGGGGGGGGGGGTCAGAACCCCCTACCCCCCCCCCTGGTTACGGCCCTGATCGACACCGTGTGGATATGTTTTGTGAGTGCAATGTGCATGAAGCTGTATGTGCCTCTGGAGCAGCATTTTACTTTACTCTGACGACTGTATTTGTAACCCGCAGCACTCGCAGTCCAGAAACGTGCTTGATTCAGCATCCAGTGGCTGGGAAAGAGGGGGGAAGGTACATATTTTTTTCGTCACGGTTTACAGGATATTGCGCACAACAGCTACTCATCACTGATCAGTGCTGGCTCATTATGAACCTACTTAATGGACCTTTTCCAAATACCGACGGCACCAGGCGGTGGCTGCATGAACTAAAAATCGAGGAAGTAACCTAGCTGCGCTACCAATCGATAATGGGAGCTACGCTACCAGTTGCTTCGCTCTCTGAGCAGCGTCGCGTGCCCAACGCGACTTTAAAGAGGGAAATCCGTAGCGTTCACCGAGACGTCGTGTTTTTCTTTCCTTCCACTTTCTTTTTTTATGTAACACAATTATATATATGCTGCAATTACGTGTTCTACTCGTCAATCTACAGCCTCATTCCGAATTTCCTCGATTTTTCGTGCCGACTTCCACCGCTTGGCATCGGGCGCTCGTGCGTGCGCAGAACGCTTCTCGGAAAAGGTCCCGCGAACTTTTGTCGAACCAGATTTTTTGGTCGAACTTTCGGGGTTCGACTGGGTCGAACCGGTTCGACGAACCTTCGAACTTTTAACCAAATTCGACCGGTTCGACTTTGTGGACAGTGTGGCCAGACCTTTATAGAAGCATGTCTACGTTTGGAGAATTTTTTTTATGCGAAGGGTTATTTTTAAATTTATGAACAGTTGCAATTAAAGAAACCAATTGTAATCACTGAAGAAGTTAATGCGGAGGGCAAGTTCGTCTGCTTCTTGCGCAGGGGGTAGCGGTGACGTCAGAACGCCGAAACCTGATTGGCTGATCGCGACCCCCTATCTGAGCGTCGTCTGCTCCTTTGCAACGCCGTCTGCTCGCAACGTCGTCTGTGTCTGTCTTACCTTTCCTGCGACTTTCGGAAGCGCAGAGGCCAGATTCACGAAACGATCTTACGCCAAAAATGTGCGTAAGACAAAACTTACGAACAAATTCGTATTCACGAAACAAAATTTTCGGAAGTTTTGCGTAGGTTACGACAAAATCCTACGACAGCTCCGAAGCTGTCTTACGCACTTCTTACGATCAAATCAGCATGGCCGACAGCGTCGCGGTCGCGACAACCAACGGACATTTATTTTTATAACGTGCGCTTCTCACGCGTCCCGACTTCAAGCAGCAAAAAAAAAAAGTAAAAAGCACTTGAAACAGACCACGACGAAGAAGAACACAGGATCTACAAACACCCGGGGAAAGCTCCAACGGCTACGATTCCACCGAACACGACCAAGCGAGTACGGCAGTTAGGCCTAGCAGGCACTCTGCTACTCGGCGACCGTCTGCCCACGACCGGCTGGCGTGCTGAATGGAATATGCCCGTGCGACCCTTGTGAACCCTTCCCGTATTATACTTTGATCGCTGACCTCGATTTTAGATTAAGAGGTCAATTTCTTCCTCTTGTCATCTCCTTGTTTCCCGAGGCAACGGTGACTCTCGTCGCTGAAAAAGCGGTGATTCTCCGACAGGCGCAGGAAAGGTAAAGCAGCCATCGCTTTGACTAGCAGACGTAAAGCAGACGGCGTTAACTGTGCCAACCCGCTGACGCCGTTAAAGAATGAGGGGTCTCGCCGCTCACGAAAGGAGGGAAAAGTATTTGGGAGGGACCTTGCAGACACTAACACGCTTACCTCTCGGTTCTTAGCAAACAAACCTAGGCGCCTCGGTACACCTCGCCAGTGGGTCCTTTGACTTCCCTCCTTGATGCGCGTCTGCTAGTTGTTAGGCAAAAACAACGTACCGCTGGAGTTATTTCGCCTGCCCTCTCTGAAAGGCGAAGTCGAGCTCGCTCGACTTCCGAAAGTCGCAGGAAAGGTAAGACAGACGCAGACGACGTTGCAAAGGAGCAGACGACGCTGAGACAGGGGGTCGCGATCAGCCAATCAGGGCTCGGCGTTCTGACGTCACCGCTACTTCCTTTCCCATGCGCAGAAGGCGAAAATGAGCCCACTTGCGAGGCGGATAACTTAATTGTTTTGTGCTGTATTAACTGAAATAACCAATCAGCGCTGCACTTAATTCATCTCTTAGCCATTATCATCCAATCCGAAGCCAACTGGCCAGACTGTCGCGCATGCGCACACAAGTCGAACCTCAATAGAAGGTTCCTCGAAATTTCCACTAAAAGTTCGAAAAAGTCGAACCTGGTCGACTCGAACCGCGGCCGGTTCGCGACACCCCTATTCATTGCACTTGACGTTTGAGCGTGGCTTGCCTAATTACTCTCTGTTGTTTGAGGCAAGGACAAGTTTTTTTAATCTTGACTGCCATATGCCACAATGAGGAAGAGATGATAGAACATGTGGTTATGTAAATCGCACAGGGCGGCAATGTTCAACAAATGTTTCGATTCTCCTAAAAAGAAAAGGAAGTGACGATATCGCGTCGGATTGGCTAGAGGCTCAAATGACCAAAGAGGGAACTTTCATCATTTGAGCCTCTATCCAATCAGACGCGATATCGCCACTTGCGTCACTTCTGTTTCTTTTTAACAGAAACAAAACATTTGTCGAACATAGCCCCCCAGGACTTCGTCCCACCCTTCTGGACGGGATGAGAATACATTTGGCAGGAGCTCTGGGTTTTGTTGATGGGAGTGGGAGGATAGAGGAAAAAATAATAACAATAACAAAGAGAAGGTTTGAGGATTGGTGGAAACGATCTAGGGAAGTGTGTTATGTCACAAAATTGTGGGGTTAGGGCAACCTCGTTGGGTTAGGCGCACGACCTGTGGGG